ACCTTTCTTTCTCCCCTAAGTTTAGCCCTGTGATAGACTGGTGACCTGTCCAGGGTGTCCTCTGCCTTCGCCCTAAGGCAGCTGGGATAGGCTCCAGCCCCCCCACGACCCTAGTTAGGATTAAGCGGTGTACAGATGATGGATGGATGGATGGATCTGTATAACATAAGTAACCCTGACATTACTTGACTTGTCATGGAGTATCTAGACCTACATTGTAAAAAATTTTTAAAAAGATTTTTAGCTGTGAGTTTTGCTATTTAGCTGTGACACACTACAAAGAAAAGTAATTGAATTTGTTAATGCTCATAAGTTTTTATATTATTGGCAATCTCTCACTCCAGTTTCCACTTTCCTCCCCCTCAGGCTCTGTCTTCCAAAGAATCCTCCATCTATGATTTTGCATGGTTTTTGTTGCCCAGTAGATGATGAAGTGCTGGATACTATTTGTGTTGGAAGCCTGGTTGGGGCTCTTGAGAGATCAGGGACTGTGAGTTCCTTGAAAACCAGAGTCTGTTTACAGCTCACTGTGGCCTGCAAAATAATGATGTGTCTTTGATTAAGGTCAGCTTGGAGGACAGAGCAGTGGAAAAGGCTTTTATGGGAAGTTTTGCAACAACAGTGGTTTTGAAATGTCTGAACATTCCATTTCACCAATCTAGTAATTAAGTGAAAGTTCAAAATCTGTCTGAAAGGACACATATTCGACTAACAATGTCAGAAATAACCACAATAAAATAATATGTAATAATGTACATGCTAACTGCAGAAAAAACAGGCCAAACCTGTACATATTGTCCAAAAAAATTCTATAAATTGTAATTTTATTATTTTGCAATGTTTGATGGTAAAACTACTCCATTTCTCTATTTCTACCCTTATATATATATATTTTTATCTTGTGAAAATATTTTTTTTTACATATATAAAAAAACTGTAAAAGAAAATAATAATAATAATAATAATAATAATAAAAGCTAACTTTTATTTTACAGAATTTCCATTTTGGTCAATTATAGAAAATATCCCCCAAAAAATTACAGATTAAAGGATTAATTTATATGTTGACTGCAGAAAAACTGTAAATTCCAAATGTATAAAATTGTACATGTTTTTACTTAATTGGCTGTTTTTCTACCGACACTGCTGTCTATCATTCCCATACACTACCTGCTTGATTAGTGCTCTATGAAGTAATCTATAATTCGTATTCATATTATTAGCAAATGTAATTCAGTCTACATTTGCAGCTCAGACATTCATAAACCTCTTTGTGCTGTAGACACACGGAGCTGCACTGCCCCCAGCTGGTGATCACATGAACTTCAGGCACACAATAAACCCGCTCAGTGCAGCAGTCTGCATACATGCAGTAAACACACAGTGAGCAGACAAACACACAATGGCAGGATGACAGCTGTGCGGGGTTTTTGCGCTTCTCTTCTGCACATGTGAGCTGCTGCTGCTGCTGCTGCTGCTGCTGGATCTTCCCCCCGCCGTGACGGAGCATCACAGCCTCCATCATCACAGGCTGCAGCTCCGCCTCCTGCATCCAGTTTGGACGCAGCTTCCACCAACCGAGTCCAAGATGACGACTAACAGCAGGTACAAGAGCCGCGCTCCCCGGTCAGGTAAGCTGTTGCTGCAGGTGATCTCCAGCTGCTGGGTTCATGAACCTTCTGTTAATGAGGCTCCACTGTTTCCTGTCCTTTCCCCTCCTGCTGGATGCGGCTGGATGCGTCTGTGATCCGCTGCTCGACGTCTCCTGGAATTTGGCTTCATGGCTCAGATGATGGGGAGGTAAGACACAAAGCTGCATGTCTGCTCTGTGCTCCCCAGTGCTGCTGAGGCCAGAGGTGATGGTGATGATGATGATGTTGATGATGATGATGGTGACCCCGGTCACATGTCATTTCTCCCTCTATGTGCAGTCAGTGCTACTCAGGTGACCTGTTTACATCAGTTTCAGCACAGTCCTGTAAATGCAGTCGCAAGTTGAGCTGCTGTACATGAAACTCCTCACCTGCCCTATCAGTCTGTAACATCTGTGCACATCTGGAGAGCTGCAACAGCGACAGTGGTCAAAAAGCTAAAATGTAGACCATTCAGTGATTCTAGCTGCTCAAATATGACAGTTTGATGTTTTTATTCATCATATATGATGGCTGCCCTGAAACTAAGAATAATTTTTACTCGTGATTCATCTAACTTTATTTTTAATTAAAAAAAAAAAGAAGTTAAAAAACAATTTAAAATATCTGTTTACTGTGATATAAAACAAAGAAAAGCTGCACTTTGTCACATTTAAGAAGCTGAAATCAGAGAATGTTCTGCATTATCGCCCTAAAATTGCTTAAGTAGTCAAATGATTGTTTATGTTTATTGGTCATTTTTGGTTGACTAATGATTTAATATGTGACAAAACTCTTACAGAGCTCTGACTAAGCTGAAAAAAATGATTTCAACAGACATGAAATATGAATGTTTTTCCAAACTTAAAGCTATCAGAGAAGTATCTATTTTTGATAAAGTAATGTTCCAGAATTCAAGAATATTCGGTTTGCAAAGCTGTACAATAAAGAAACTCTCCAAATTGTTGCACTGAAGCAGCACATTTGCATGCCAAACAATTCAAAATCATAAATAATTGATATTTTGGCTGAAAAAAATGACTCAAATGTTAAGAAATGACCAAAGTATTTGAAGAAGAACAGTTTATGAAATTATGAAACACAGAAAATCAACAAACCTCAACATTAGAGGGGCTTGAATCAGAGAATATTTGGCATTCTTACTTGAAAAATTACAGAAAATTTAATCCAAATATTTGTTAATTAACTTTGTTAAATACTTATTTAACTTTCATATAAAAGCAGAAAAATTATTGCCAAGTTACAAATCATTTGGTGTTTTTTGCTTTAAAAAAATGACTAAAAGGTCAAGAAAATATAAAAAATAGTTGCAGATTAACTTTCTGTATAAAATGTTGTCATTTAGCACAGTGTAAAGTAGATTACTTTTCCAAGCTGATATCTACTTAAGGCCAGTTTTTGTTAAACCAGCTGTCCAAAACTAGAGCGAGAAAAGTGAATATATTTTATATTTCTATGGAAAAAAACACTGAAAGGTTAATAAATGATCAACAACCAGATTCACCATCTGTGGAAAATATTTGAGACAATGTGTAATTACATGATTTTTCCATATGCAGAGCTTTTTACGCATGTTTAAAGGTCTGATGTAAAAACTGACTGGATGAACATCACCAGTTCAAACACTCCAAGTGAAAAAAATAAGCAAAAATATGTAACTGTGAAACTTGATGTCCAAAAGCAACTTGGCAAAGCCGTTTTTAAAATCTTTCATTCTCATGTCAGGTTCAGGAATCCTGCAGAGAACATAGCATCCTAGAGCTGCAGCTCCTCACTTTTTATTTTCAGATATATGTCTCCCAAATCCCACAAATGGTTTCATAATTTCCTGCCTTGGTCCTGCCTCACAGCTCCGTGTTCTCATGTCCTGTTGGACGGCAGTGCTGAGGCTGAGTCAGAGCAGCGCACTCAGACGCTGCAGTCTGGATGCGAGTATTTTGGTGATGTGTGTGTGGGTGTGACTTGCAAACGCATCCACAGACAAAATGTCAATATGGAAGCAATGCACAAACACACACACACATCACACCTCCCACCCTCAGATCTCCTAAGTAGACCAGCTAATGCACTCTGCATTAGATTTGGTATTAAAAGCTTGCCGTATCCTCAAGTGGAAATGTTTGGGGAGAAATCTAATGCACGCTGGGAGCGGCTGCACTTATATTTGACCATCTGTTTCTTTCAAGCCTCTGCTTTTTAATCTTTTCTGTCCTCCTTCTATGTGTTCACATACATGCTGCCTTCACGCTCCCCACCCCCTCCTCCTGTGAGCGTGGCTGCCTGCCACACTGTGTTATGAATACTTGGAGGACCTCAGGGCTCACTCTCCCCGCCACCCTCCTCCATTAAACATGAAAAGAATGTCCTACTAACACAGCTACTGTAGCACTGCAGCAGCACGATGGCCATCATGAGTTGAATGTGTTTCCGTTTGTATCATTGCTTCTAGGAAAAAGACTACGTTGGATTTGCGACGCTGCCAAACCAGGTGCACAGAAAGTCGGTGAAGAAAGGGTTTGACTTCACACTCATGGTGGCAGGTGAGAGCTGCTGCTGGTTTTGGTGTCACCTTGACTCGGTCTTCTTCTGTGTCAGTACAATTCATAAGTCAACATTTCTTTAATCAGTCATTCTTTCCACAGATACATACAGTATTATAATTTCATATTCTAATGTCTTTATATTCAGTCTGCCATCTATTATTGTAGTCTAACACGTTTTGATCTTATGCAGCCCCACATCACACTTCACTTGCTTCACTTTCAGGACTATGCATTCACTGTAGATATACTGGTCATATTCACACCAAACATGCTGAACCCCATCTGAGCTAAATACATTTATTTTTCTCACCTGACTAAAGAATTGATTTCAGTTCAGTTCAGTTTTATTTATGTACCACCAATTCCCAACGTATTTCACCTCATAGCACTTTGCATAGTAAGGTAAAGACATTTTTACCAAATAAACAGAGAACCCAACAATCCAAAGTTGCCTCTGGATTTCCTATGAGCAAGCGATCCGATTGTGCTCAGAGTATTCATGTGGCTCCTTTTAATGTCCTTTAAGCAAAGTTTTATTGTAGTTTATTCCAAACAGCAAGCAAGGTTTTTTTTTTTTTTTCTTGGATGATGTACACACAAGTTGATGTTATCAAAGGTCACACTAACTGAGCTGTTACAGAAACTCTACATTTCCTTGATAATCCTTGTGCCACATCTGAAGCAGCTGCCCATCTGTTTTTCAGAGGTACACTGTGAAAGTAGAGCTGTCCATGAGTTAATTTTCAGAGGACAACCACTGCAGCTCTGATTAGTGCTACTATGGCTATACCTCCTGATGACTGCTGCAACTGTGTTTCCACTGATTTTTAGTTAGTTACTGATCTTCCTGTATCCTTATCCATCTTTATGAAGTCTCACAGTCAGATTTTTCAGTTGTTTTCCATACTGAGCCATGCAGATTGACAAAGCCCGTATATCCAAAACTGAGATTCTTCTCTTCACAGCTCATTTTACTTTTACTTATTTTACAGATGTATTCGGTTTAGTTTCAGTGATAACAGGTTTTCTAACTTGTGTATCAGTGATCACAAGTAGATTCACTTTTATTGCACTTTTGAGTTTCTACTTTTCCTGTGTTTTCACTAAGCTAATTATAAACACCAAGGAAATATTGGACCACTACAATTGGAAATTATGTAATTTTAAATCATTCGGCATTCAAGTACTGCACCGGAGTGTACTCACTTCTGTTGTAAGCTGTATCTACACTGCTGCTATTGCAGACAGTGGACTTAAACACATCCATCCATCCATTATCTATACACCACTTAATCCTCACGAGGGTCGAGGGGGGGCTGGAGTCTATCCCAGCCGACTTAGGGTGAAGGCAGGGGACACCCTGGACAGGTTGCCAGTCTATCACAGGGCTACACTTAGAGACAGACAACCAAGCACACTCACATTCACACCTATGGACAATTTAGAATCACCAATTAACCTCAACATGTTTTTGGACCTTGTGGGAGGAAGCCGGAGAACCCGGAGAGAACCCACGCTGCACGGGGAGAACATGCAAACTCCACGCAGAAAGATTCCGGTGCCCCCACCGGGACAGCTTAAACACATTGTCAATAAATTTATTATACACCAGCACTTGGGTTTTTGATTTGTAAAGGTCCGTAGAGATACTGAGAATCTCTCAGTAGAGACTTAGTCACACTACTTTAGCATGTGGTAAAAATATAAAGCATTCTTCACACTTAAAGTCTCAAACCAAGACAGGATGTGCTTGTTTCGAGGCAGCTTTCCCATCACACCTCCGCAACGTCTCAGTATTCACAAATTTCATGTGTCCTGTGAAAATGTCTGGCTGTGTTGAAGGCTGAATGCTGATCTTGAGGATTAAAATGAGTCATAAATTAAATGTTAAGAACTAACCCCTGCAGCCTGAAGGATACTGAAGCATAAATCACTTTCTCCTTTGCACATTTTTTGTGTGTTTCTGAACAGTTTTGAGGCCATGACTGATTGTAATTTTGACACCCTATTTTTTGTTAATGTTATCTAAAGTTCCTCCAAAAATGTGACTGAAATAATCAAAGTGTTTGTGTTCAGAGCTGCATCTTGAGTCACATTTGTGGTATACCATGTTGGACAGCAAAAAATCAGTATGATATTTGTGTCAAATCAGATTTTCTACCAGTGTGAAAGAGTCTGGCAGAAATTAGATTTCAAGCAGTCCTGGGTGGATGTTAGATGGTTCTTTGTGTGTGAGATGTAGATGTGGGATAGACTTTTCGTAGGACTGATCATCACTGTTTGTTGTGCTTTAAGTCTGCATTTGTACCACAACCATCTATCTATCTATCTATCTATCTATCTATCTATCTATCTATCTATCTGTCTATCTAATTAGTTTTAGTTACCATGAACGATTTCAACTGTTTAGTAGTTTTAGCTAATTAGCATATTTTGTCAAGTCCCAGCTAATTATTTCAACTACTTATGTATTAGTTTAAGCTAACGTTAACTATTTACACTGTTTTGGTTAAGCTTTAACTATCAACTCTTTATTCACTAGTTTTAGCTAACTACTTTAGCAGTTTATTCATTACTTTAAGATTAGTTTAGATTAGTTTAATGTTAACTATAAGCTTTATATTCAAGTTTGGCTTACTATTTTAACTGTTTAAACTGTATAATCAATCATTTAAGCTAATGTTAAATATTTTAAATGTTTATTCAAGTCTTAGCTAACTATTTTACTGTTTATTCATTAGTTTAGCTAACATTGACAATTTTAAGTGTTTGTGCAAACTTTACCTAGCTAGTTCAGCCATTTATTCGTAGGTTTTAGCTGACATAACCACTTCAGTAACTATTGAAGTAACTAAACTATTTAAGTTTCGGTAACTGTTTCAGCTGTTTAACAATTTATTTGTTTTAGTCTACGTTACCCATTTACACTACGAATGTTCATTCATTTTAGCTTACTAGTTCAGTCGTGCATGATATTTTTTAGCAAGTGTAGCTGTTTATTGATTAATTTTTGCAAATGTTAATTGTTTAGCTTGCATGTTTCTTAGTGGTCTAACTAATGAACTCATTCATTTATTCCTTTAAGTGTAACTGCATATTCTTTAGCCTTTGCTAACATTAACTATTTAAACATTTTATACATTAGTTTTAACTAGTTCAGGTACTTTCAGCTATTTTCTGTTCATTCACCAGTTTAACCGAGAGACTTTAGTTTTGGTAATGTTGACTTTTTGACAACAGTGTCAACTTCTATCTATGTCAGCAGTTTATTGATCTTTGTTTTAACTCTTTTGCTTGTTTATTCATATATTTAGGTACCTTTTAAGAATTTCAACAATTTGTTAATTACATTTACCCTAATTTGTACATCTACCTTTAACTTTTTCAGCATTTAGGAAAATACTATGTCCTTTGAATGTTCATTACTTTTAGTTTTTTATTTTAACGACTTCAACTGCTTTTTAGTTATTAATCAATTAGATTATGAAGAATTCAACCATTTATGATTGCTTGCTAACTGTAGTTTTCCCTGTACATTGCAACAGGGTTGTTGCTTTTACTCTGCTTTAACACAAACATATGGGTATATGTAGTTTCCAATTATATGACAATTTCAGTTTTTCTCGAGTCTGTTAAACTGGATTACTTTAATATGCTCTCTCAGAAATTAATCAGGCATAACATTTGACCACTAAAATTAATTTTTCTGATCAGTAATGCAAGTAAATAACTATAATTTGACATCTTAATCAAGAAATAATAATGTGCTTACTATTTTTTCAGTTTTTGTAAAGCAGCAAATTTAAAAATTCATGGAAAACAATAATAATTATATTTTAGCATTAAACTTATCATTTTGTTTAAAGAGCTTCTGCATACTGGTGTATTAACCTTTACAGAAATATGAAAAATGATTTTGGTAATTACCAATGCTGTTAATTTAGGGCAGCTGTGGCATAAACCTTACATTCAGTGATGGTCTAATACATTTGTTAAGCACTGTCTATGTGTGTATGTGTCGTAACAGGTGAGTCTGGCCTGGGTAAATCCACTCTGGTCAACAGCCTCTTCCTCACTGATCTGCATAAAGACAGAAAGCTGCTCAACGCTGAGGGTGAGTGACAAATCAGTCAGACATCTCTATATCCTTGTTACTGTATCTTCGATCACTTTGTTGAATATCTTTATTGTTTTCGTCCTATAGAGCGCATCAGTCAGACGGTAGAGATCACAAAGCACACAGTGGACATTGAGGAGAAGGGGGTGAAGCTGAAACTGACTATTGTGGACACTCCAGGTTTTGGAGATGCTGTCAACAACACAGAGTGGTAAGGCTTCACTTCGTACTCTGAAGTCTGATCAATGAAAAAAGCTGTAAAAGCTTGGTGATAAATAATATTCTATGGAGGAGGCTCTCTATGGCCTTAAGTTAAGTAAACTTGTTCCACTACGTACCATTTATCTGTGCCGTTCTGTGTTCACCCACACATCAATAAAACTGCTGAAGTTCTGCCCTTCAACATAAAAGTAAAAGCTTTGCTGCTCAACCCTGTTTACTGTTTAAACAAGAGGAGACAGTGTTTTTATTGGGGACTATTTCTATCTGGGGGTCTGTTATATCTGAGTAGCCACTTCAGGACAACAGGACTGTGTTTGTTGGATTCACACAAGAAACTAGTGTATGTTAATGGTGATCATTTTTATTGCTGATTAAACTTTAAATTATTATTTTTTGATGAGTTGTTTGGTCTAGAAAATGTCACAAAATGGTGATAAACGTTGATCAGTGTTTCTCAAAGCCCAACATGACAAATGTCTTGTTTCATCCATAACACTACTGTCGTAGAGGAGGAAAGAAACCAGAAGATATTCACATTTAAGAAGGTGGAGTCAGAGAATTTAGATTTGTCCGTCAAGAATTACTCAAACCGATCAGTACATTAGCAAAACAGCTGGCCAATATTTTAATAATTGACAGTAAATTAATTAATTATCGGAGATTTAATGTGCTGCAAAGAGTTATTAATATTTTGAAGTAAATTCAGCAGTGAAACCGAGACGAGGCTCAGTACTTGCTAAACAATCAGTTTAAACTGTGATAAATTGTTATTTGATTAAAAAATATATGCAGATAAACAGATAGTACCTGATCCATTACTGAATTAGCCCTCTGCAACCTTAACCCAGGGGTGTCCAAACCTGGTCCTCGAGAGCCACAATCCTGCATGTTTTAGATGTTTCCCTCTTCCAACACACCTGATTCACATGATCAGGATCTTTATCAGGCTTCTGCAGAGCTTGATGATGAGCTGATCATTTGAATCAGGTGTGTTGGAAGACGGAAACATCTAAAACATGCAGGATTGTGGCCCTCGACTACCAGGATTGGACACCCCAGCCTTAAACCCACCAGTGGGTTTAAAAGGTATGTTATCTAAATAGTTGCCGATTAATTAATTACTTCACAAGTCGTCGATTAGTCCTTCCGACTCTAGTTTGTGGTAATAAGGGAATGTGTCAGTCAGTGCAACAGTGTAGTGCACTGATGTATTTTTGTTAGTTTTTGGAGAACAACGGGAATTCTGAGGTACGAAGGTAAAAGTCTTATCTGATGGCATTCATTGTTTTCATGGTTGTGGTCTTTTCATGGGATTTGTTAGGATTGGGATTTTGTTAAACTGGTCTAAAAACCGTCAACCAGGGTCTAGCGTTGATCAGACAACCGGCTCAAGACAAACAAACCCTGGTGTATAGTATAAAAACAAAACGGATCAACAACAGGATTTATGTGATGTGATTTAAGCATAGATTCAAAAATGAAACAACAGTTTTAAAAATCTGTCTGCTGAACAGAAGGGACCTTTACCTTAAGCCCAACCTGATAAAGCCGATGACCAGTTGGGGTTAAGTTTTTAAAGACATTTTGCCTTCATCTGAGAGGCTTCTTTAGTTCTGAAAGGAACTGACCTGAAAAAAGCCTTGGATGAAGGTAAAGAGTCTTCTGGAAACTAAATAAAAAGTGCTGTTGCTTTTTACTGAAGCTCCTAGGATTACCATGACCTGGATGACTGGGAACCTGCAGAAATATGTTTTCCTTCCAAGATGTCTCTCTTTACCTTCTGGAAGGCTGATGACTTAAGGGCAATTAACCACATTTAATTTGAATTAGTTGTGTTGAGTTTGTTTTTTGCTTAACTACATGTAGTTAGCACCTGTTCATTTTCGGTTTAACTGATTTCTGAATTACAATTAATGAATAGTTTGCTTAATTAGTGTCACTGTGTGCATCTCCCTTCTTTGTTATGTCGTGAATGAGCCAGGCAGCCAACAACCTCGAGAGGACAGAAAAAATGCTGCTTGTTGTTTTCCTCTCTGAGTTTAGTCAATCAGTGCAGAGACCTGCTCTGTTGTTTTTCATGGCTGCTCAGAAGTGTCTACCCTGGAGTAGGTAAAAACAACCCTGAAAGAGGTTCTGTAGGTCGGCTCTTGTGATCCAAGCACAAAGGTTCAGGACCCTGTAAATGGCCCACAAGTTCCTAGAGTGGAAAACAGCTTAATGTGTAGTTGTGTCACCTTGTGTCATTAAAAAACAGCCAAATTCACAATGTACTGTGAATTTGCATAACAAACCTTCTTTTCCTACATAGAAATTGAGTTGCATCCAGTAAATACCATTTGTCCTTGTTTGGTAAATTCTGAGTTAACCCTGTTCAGGACTTTGGGGGTCTTTTGGACCCCAGGTCATTTGTTTTAGGTGACAGATATTGTTTTATTTATTTTTGAAGATGTTTTTTTTTTTTTAAATAAAAAGAGGGACATATGTCATGCATTTGGAACCAAAAATACGTCAACTTATCAGAACATTTATTTAACATAGTATAAAAGTCTATAATGAATACCAACAAATATTTTGCACATATTCTTTCTTGGGGTCCAATGGGTCCTGAAAGACTTTCTACGTATGGCAACATGAAAGTCCTGAATAGGGTTAAACTACACGGTTGAGGATGTTGGATCGTACACTGCAATGGAAGCAGAGAGACTGAAAGGGCTAATTGGGCGCCTGTTCTTGCGAATGTTCACACCACCTTGCACAGAGTTCTTGGAGTAGAAAGCTGCTTCATTTTTGGCCACAATCCAACATTTCTCAACAGAACATACCAAAATGGTTGATCATATCAACTATAACTGTCAGTGGTTTTAATGTTGTGGATGCCCCTGTATATACACGGTATGTTTTCCAAATAATTTGGGAACCATGGTAATCCAGGTAACAGAAGCTAAAACAGATCTGTGTTGTGTTTATGCCCCACTCTGTGTATTTTGACAGTTCCTCAATAAAAGGTGAGTAAAATATAGTGGCCACACTGGAGTTAATATTGCAGTAAGAGACTCCTGTTTTCCCTCCTGGTCAGCATTGTTCATTAAATCAGTTACAGTTAAAGTGAAGTCATAGTACTAAGTATCCCTAAAGACCTTCATTATATATAAGAATGTGTTACGTCAGCCAGCATTTACTGTTGAATTTCTAAAACTTTACACCAGCTGATAAATTGGAATATCCTACGATGCTTTAAGCTTTTCCTCTTTCCTTTTGTCTGTTATAGCTTTGTTGTGCATGCAAATGATCTGCAAACATAAAATGTCCATGCTAAAGGGAGTTCTCTCCCACAGAAAAGTCTGCTCCTTGAATGTGTTTTTTTTTTTCTTGTCTTTTTTTCAGCGAAGCTGTTGACTCCCAAACAAAATTATGAAGCTGTAAATGTTAGTAATTATTGTTGACTTCATAAAGCAGTTTTTGGGGTTCATTTTGGCTCTGCCTTATCTGTTCTATTTGTTGTTTCTTTGGGCTGGAACTGCAGCACTGATTTGATTCATTAGGACTTTAATTACATTGGCACCATCTCACTGTCCCCCTGGGGTATTGATCTGTTATTGTTCGGTTTCATTTCTTGGTGAAGCAATTTGCGACCTTTTCTTAAAAGTGATAAAATGTTATTTCCCTTGTTGCTGTGTACAATTTCACATGAAGAAACAAAACGTTTCTTTTTACTTTTTTTTTTTAAACCTTTTTTTCCCCATTAAATTTAAATGAAACAGAAAGACTGCAGAGCAGTTTAATCAGAAAATAAGCTGCTGTCATGTCAGGATTTCAATCAGATCAAGCAAGTACATATGACAGTTTGACAAAGTTGCCAATCACTGCAAAACTGACACAATTGTAAAATAAGGGCAGTGGAAATGGTCGGTCAGGAAACATAGACAGGATTCTTTCCATTGGTGTTACCATGGTTACCAAATTATTTGCATAAATATGTAAACATGGCCTTTAGAGATCAACAGTAATAATAACAATACTTTAATCTTTCATGCAGCACATGGAGCTCAAACTGCTTTAACATTAAAAATAAAATAAACACAATGTAAAAACAATAAACAAATAAATAAAATGCAAACGTGAACACATATACACACATATAAAATTGAAAAGCAAACAGGTATAAATGTAATATCATGACATAGGTGATTTCATATAAAATCAACCAAATTGTAAAAAGGTTCCCACCTGACCCCCTTAGCAATAGCTGATTTTTTAGTATATACAATGAAGCCATACATTTTCCGTTCATAACAAATCATGTGAGCATGGAAGACCCTCTTTTTGAGGATGTTTTTGCTGGTTTCTTTCATTTGAAGCTCAGCTTTCACATCAGTCTAAACAAACCAGTCAAACACGCCCCAGAGCCGAATTAAACAGCTCAGAAGTGAAAGTTCCCTTAAAGTGGCTGATAGGTGTATTTTTAACGTCTGTTTCTCCCCGTCTCAAGTCATTATACTAAGCTAAGCTCACCAGCTTGCAAAGCATCACATTGTTCCCTTCAGTGTCTGGCAGATTTACAGTAAAACCCGTGCATGCATCCTTGTGTTTTCCAGCTGGCGGCCTGTCACCGACTACATCGACCAACAGTTTGAGCAGTACTTCAGAGATGAGAGTGGACTCAACAGAAAGAACATCCAGGACAACAGAGTGCACTGCTGCCTCTACTTCATCCCCCCATTTGGACACGGGTAACTCACACATGACTCTATATATATATATGTAAAACATAAAATAAGTGATTGCATAGGTGCTCATCCCTTTCAAGTCAGTATTTAGTAGATGCACCTATAGTTGCAATTACATGATTGAGCCTGTGTGGGTAGGTCTCAATCATCCCGGCTCGTCTTGATACTGTTATTCTCCCACTCCTTCTTAGCAAAACTTCTCAGACTCTGTCAGGTTGCCTGGGAGTTGTGAGTGAACATCCCTTTTCAAGTCTAGCCAGAAAAAGCATTAAACCATTTCTGTGTAGCTTTGGCTAAATGCTTCTGTTCATTGTCTTGCTGGAAAGCAGATCTTTTCCAAGTCACAGTTGTCTTGCAGACTGCATCAGATTGTCCTCCAGGATTTCTCTCTCCCTTTAGGAGAACTTTTAGGGCCTACTGCTGAGAATCCTCTCCACATCATGATGCTGCCACCACCATACTTCAACGGTGGGGATGGTGTGCTTGTGATGATGTACCCTGTTTGATGTACACCAAATAGAGCATAAAACTAATGGCAAAAAAAGCTCAGTTTTGGTGTCTTCAGAGCAAAAGACCGTGTTCCAGTTGACACCCTCTGATGAACTCTAGTCCAGATTTATTATTTGCTTTTTTTCAACAATGGTTTTCTCTTTGCTACTCTCCCATATAGCTATTACCGATAAAGAGACAGGCAGCAGTTTTTTAATGCACATGTCTCTTTCATCTCAGCCATTGAATTTTGTAACTCCTTCAGACGAGTCATAGGTATCTTGATGGCCTCCCTCACTCATGTCTTTCTTGTTTGGTCAGTCAGTTTTTAAGGGTGGCCCACTCTAGGCAAATTTAAATGTGCCATATTCCTTTCATTGCTTAGTGATAGATTTAACTGTACTCCACAAGATTTTGTGACTTGGAAATTTTCAGTAACCTTTTCACTGGATTTTTTGGAGTGTTTGTTTGTCTTCATGGTGTAGTTATATCCAGGAGTACTATTCACCAGAGACTGAACTTTCCAGATACAATGATTTCAAAGCTACAATTCATAAAAGGAGAAAACTTCCAAAGTGGGTGAACATGAAACATGAAAGTCCTGAATAGGGTTGAAATGCTCAGTAAAGTTCATGTCCTACTGCAGGCTTCGTCCAGTCGACATAGAGTTTATGAAGGCCCTGCAGGACAAAGTTAACGTGGTTCCTCTCATCGCTAAGGCCGACTGCCTCACCCCCCTGGAGATAAAGAAACTCAAAGAGCGGGTAACATTTGAAATAAATATGATTTCACTGCAACCGTTGTAGGAGATAAAAGCTGAATATATGTGCTGACCTTTCTGCTTGTGCAGCTTTTCCTTTGGCTACTGGCTACTTTTAGTGTTTTATTTATATTCCTGCACTGAATTAAACCCGTAAAAGACATCTGTGCATTTGTCTAAATATAGAAGATGTCCAGAAAGAGTATCTTGCAATGCTGTAAAGAGATTTCTTCATCCAGTTGGTGTTTAAAAAAATAATGGGCTTGATTTAAAGTAAAAACTGAACATTGTAGGAGAAATGTCCTTATTCAGGTCATAATGTGCTATTTATGAAGCTGGAGCAGGTGGTTAACTTAGATTAGCAAAACAGCTGGACGTACGGGAAGTATCGTAGCTTTTCTCTTTCAAAAATTGAAAAAAATACGTCTTCCAACAACTCCAAAGCTGATTGGCTTCTAGTATCTTGTTTTAACCCATACAACAAAAAAAATGACAAAAATGAAATGTTGTAGTTTGAACTTTTGGGTATTCCTAGAACAACACTTTAGTCTTTGCTGATTATAAGGTTGTAAGGCAAAAATTACGACTGAAAGCTGTGTGTGTGTGTGTGTGTGTGTGTGTGTGTGTGTGTATGTGTGTGTGTGTGTGTGTGTGTGTGGGTGTGGGTGTGGGGTTCTTGGGGTTGTCAAGGCTGTACCTTGACATGTACCTTGACATGTACCTTGACATGTCAAGGTACAGCCAACAACTTCATACCATTTGTTGTATTACAGAAATCCTTAAATCTGTTTGTACATTGAAGACAAAATGAACATCTTTGCTACATCTCCTGCTTCTAGTCTTTATGCTAAACTAAGCTGACCACACCCATCAAACACTACTCTAGGATAGATTTTTTCCAATTATTTCCTAAACTTGTGGACCACTCCTTCAAGATTTTACATTTAAAGTTTAAAAGATTTGTAGAGTTATTTTGCTTTACAAATGAAAATGAATGTGTAGCTGTGAACATAAGATCCATGACTGACTGGGTGGGTGAGTAATTAGGTCAGAAGAATGGAATTGAGAACTGAAGTTCATTTGGATTTATTTTCAGTTCCTTTCAGTGGTGGATGACTCATGCATCTCTGTGCAGAAATTTCATCTGCACTGAGTTTTCAAGCTCTCATATACAGAACAGTGACTTCTGCTACATTTTGGCGCTCTGTGGGAGGCTGCATGTGTGTTTGTGTTTCTGCTGTTGTCCATCACATCTCCCATGTGCTCCGTCCTTCCAGCTGAGGGAAGAGATCGATAAGTATGGGATAAAGATCTATCAGTTTCCTGACTGCGACTCAGATGAGGACGAGGAATTCAAGCAGCAGGATAGAGAGCTGAAGGTGAACTCAGTTCTTATTGAAGACATTATTTCCAGTCCCTGTGTTTTTGTGTTTGGCACTGCTAAAAATTAGTATTTGCACTTTGATACATTTTTGACAAATTTGAACTTTGCTTGAGCTTTTCTTTTCTTTGTATTTTCTCTTTCAGTGTTAAAAATTTCCGCTTTAAAGCCTGCCTCTATGAGTGCTAATAACACATATTTACTTGTAAAGGTGAATTACTACACTGTGAGAAAAAAAAAAGTTTAACAGTTTTAACTTTAAAAAAATAAATAAATAAATAAATAAAAAGCAATTTACCAATTTACTATTTTGCATATGTTCCCATTAAAAAAAAACTAAACATCCAACATAAAAAGTAATAAAATTATTGAAAAAAGTATTCATATTCATGTTAACCTAAAAAATAACAAACAAAAGTAAAAGCAGGGCAAAACCGTCTTTTTTCAAATACCCATTTATTATTTTACAAAGCTTGACCATAGCATTACAATTAACAAAACTATTTCACTTTTTTACTGATATTTTGTGTTATTTAAACAAACAAAAAAATATATAGATATGTATTGAGAGGATTGAAAAATGGTAAATCAATTTTAAATTTCATTTATCAATTAATCAATTTTAGTTGATATTTTTCAGATTTTCCCTGTTTTGTTCAATTATAGATAGTATCCAATAAAAACTATAAAACTATAAAATGGTGTCGACACCAAACATCGGTTAAATTGTGTCATTATTATATATATTAATTATTGTTATAATAATTTAGATTAAAGTAATAATAATATATAATTTGTGAACATAACGTTACGCTGTTTTTCTCAAATTAAATCAGCAAAAAATATTATTTTACAGAAAGAAAACTTGTGTATATTAAAGATTGTTATTCACAAATTTCTCAAAGTTTGGTCTAATTGCAGACAATATATCTCTTCTTTTACAATGTGTGACCATAAAATCACACTGTTTTACTTGATTTAAATCAACTAAAGATATAATGATTTACACGTATTTGCTGTTATTTTCCCCATTTGGAAAGTTTTTGAACATTACACTATTCCACTGTTCTTTACGTATTGTTTCTGGCACCCCTGCTGCCACATTTTCACTCTTTCTTTACAGTTTAAAAAAAAATATTTTTTTTTGCAGTGTGCGTATGAGCATTGTTACTCGTACTTTAGATGCAGACAGTGAGTTTTTTCTTCTGTCGCTGCTGTTTGTGATGCAGGAGAGCACTCCGTTCGCAGTGATTGGCAGCAACACTGTGGTGGAAGCTCGAGGTCAGAGAGTGAGAGGGCGGCTCTACCCCTGGGGCATTGTGGAGGGTAAGAAAGCTGGACGCTGTAGCTGTCAGAAGGGCTGCCAGCCCTGATGGTAATGCTTTTTCCTGTGTGCAGTGGAGAACCCATCCCACTGCGACTTTGTGAAGTTAAGGACGATGCTGATCAGAACCCACATGCACGACCTGAAGGACATCACCAGTGACTGTCACTACGAGAACTACCGGGCTCAGTGCATCCAGACCATGACCAGGTGTGCTTGTTTTGTCATTAACTTTATTATTTTTAAAAACAAAATTTTAGGAGGAGGAAAGTTGGCATTTTTTCCTTCTTTTTAAAAAAATTATGACATAAAAAAAGTTTCCTTTTTTGGTTTCTTAATTCAGGTTTTTTTGTTTAAAAATAACTCCAACTTTGACTTACTAAGACAGCATTTTGAGTTATATCATAATTTTGACTTGATAAAATATAAATAGTGGTTTTACTTACTAAGTCATAACTATGACATGAAATTGTATTTTAAAATAATAATAGTTATATATATATTTCAGTTTGTGGTGTAGTTTCTCCTGGGATTTGTCTCATTTTCCTACTAATGCTATTAAAATGATAAAAAGATGCTACAACCACATCACATTCTGCAACATTCTGTCTTCTTGTTTTTAGTAGACAGAAAGCAGAGGATCCCTGAATGACTTTTCCACTTCGTCACTCTTTTCATGATTGTAACAGACCAGACAAACACTGGCTTGTTCACTGATTCATTACTGAAGCTATCAAAAGACAAAGCTGATTTGCCACATAGCAGTGAAGCAAATCAATCAGTCAAACTTAATTAATATAACTTTTTCAAACACGTCAAATCCAGTTGAAAGTGTTTTACATGCAATTGACAAAACGTAGGATCTCAGGCGTAGATTTCATTTGGAACATTAGAGGGTCTGGGCTTCATCCCCCAGGACATTTTGAGCATCAAACACTTAATTTACTGCAGTCTGGTGACTGTTTATACACCATTTTGTTCTTTTTCTGCATCAGTTCCTGATGGAAATGTCCTAATTTATGAAAAGATAAACAGTAAAGTCAGAGACCAAGTGACAGTCCAGAATAGAGTGCAGTAAAGCTCCCAGGAATTCTGCATTGCTTTCAAATATTTATTCTCCTTTAGATTTCTGATTTGATGTCAACCCTGCTGAGTCAACACACATACAGACAGAATTTCTTGCCTGTCCTTGGTCCTCTTTTGGGTCTTTTCTAAGGATGTGACCTCTTTAAATGTACAGGTGGCCCCTTCTCAGTTCATTAACTTGAGTTCATTTATAAACTCCTCAACTTTAGTAGCTCAGATTTGTTTTAGCAAAGTTCTGCTCATCTTCACAACTTTTCAAAACACATCACACATACCTGTATTTGACCTATTAAAGGCTTTTTTTAAATGTTTTTGAGGAAATGTTCTTTCTTCTTTCATCTTTTTATTGGGTAGCGACAAATGTATAAATGTTTGAAATATTAATGGGGACATATTCCCTGCATCCCTCCCTGAAATCTAAACTAATTCATACAGTGTAGCAGATTTAGAGACTAATGCACACAAAACAGATAGAAGGAAGTTAAGTTAATAAGTGATAAATGAATACAATGCATGCATGCAAAAAAAAAAGCCAAAAAACATGTGAAACAAATAAACTATCGTAAAACAATAAGATAAAATATAGCATAACATAACATAAGCTGACCTGACATGACACAACATCACAGATCAGAACATGACATAATGTAATGCAGTACAATAACAAGAGAAGAAATAAGGACCTGATAGAATAGCAGTACGATACAAGCATGATACATTACTAAAAAACAAAAATACAAATAAGTAAGGTAAAATAGGACAAAGAGAAAACTGAGAAATAACACTGGCAATGATGCTGAAGTAAAAAATTAACATTGCTCATGATGATGAAACATAGCGCTTGATTCTGAAGTATTGCCAGTGACAGTGAGATCGTGCCCTTGATGCTCATCATCATGCCTCATGTTTCTCCTTTGCAGTAAGATGAATGCAGATAAGCGGGTGGAGAGTCCCATCCCGATCCTGCCGCTGTCCACGCCTGACGTGGAGACGGAGAAACTCATCAAAATGAAAGATGATGAAGTGAGTGGCTGCTTAAGACTGAATAATGCATCGCAGCAGGTGTTACATAACCGAGACGCTGATGCGAATCGATGACCCATATGTGTTATTACGTAAGTCGTCTCTCATCCTGCTTCCTGTTCCCTTTTCTCCTCTGCCTCCACCATCGTCTCGTGCAGCTGAGGAGGATGCAGCAGATGCTTCAGAAGATGCAGCAGCAGATGCACGAGCAGGACCTGTGACCGCTGCTGCTATACCTGTCTTTACCTTCATGTCTTTCATTTATAATCGGGCAGGAATCCCTCACTGAGGCCAACCTCACATGGGACGACTGAAAAAATGTCGATATTTTGCCCAATTCTCCAAACACTGGTCACAAAGAAACAGGGTCATTCCGTGAAACATCAATCAGAGCCTCCCTCCTGACCCAGTCAGAATTAGCTGATCTTTTATCGACGGTAACTTCAGTAGATTTGATGAGGTCATGCAGCAGTTTACCTTCATACTAGTAACAGGCCCTTTAAGTACATAAGGGTGGGTCAAAATGTTTGTGATTTTTAATTTGTATTATTTTTATTTCTAGAATTTCTGAGCTGTCATAACTTCATAAGCAGAGGAGATACACTCATGAAAACCACAACCAATGCTGTTTCTCCATTTCAGAGTCATAATTCCTAGCCATAGTATGACTATATTAGAAAACAGTTTTTTGATTTTGGCTTTCCATTGTGACACCTGAAGTGGATGTAAAATTGATACAGTTGTAGTTTTTAACAGACTGCAAATGTGTTTTTTAGCCCTGAAAATTTCAAATGTTTATCTCCTGGACTTGTGAAGTTACAAAGAAAAAAAAAAGTGAATTAAAAGTGTGATGTACCTCAAAAGCCTGTAACTGAAAATAATAGGTAACGTTTTGCATGGCTTCATTAAATAAAAAGTTACTGTGCATAAAAATCTGCTGATTCCTTGGGGGTCAGTTGGGAGCTTTTTGGTTGATGTTATCTGGAATGACCCAACAGAACAGATAGGAGCATGCTGTTTTTGGTGTCCTTTTTTTAACGCAGTCTTTAGCCAAGTGAGTCTTGTTAGGCAATAGGGATTAGCTTGCACTTTGTTACCTTTAGATCACAGTAGATACTTGAAATACTCAGTGAGACAAATGCACCTCGTCCCACATTCTTTTTGTAGTTTATGCACTGACTGTGCGAGCGCCTGCTGTTCATGTGGAGCGATTGAAAAGCTGCTGATGGTTCGTTTCAGTGTGCGGATTCTGACTGCAGGGTTTTTCCCAGTATTAGACGACTTAGCAGCACTTAAGCTGAATAATCAGAAACGAAAGTCAAAGTAGGGATGTGGTGAGATTTATTTCGGGTAATATTCTTATATGGTAAAACACCTGGATTTGTTAGAGCTGGAGTGCGGTACTTTTAGGTACGTTTGACTGTGGTGGTTGATTTGCCAGAGCCAAAGAGAGGAGCAGCCACAGCAACGGAGATAAAGTAGCTACAGCAGTATCTAGGAGTGTGATGCAAGACCTAGGAAGTGTTCAAGGAAAGTTTTTGATGCTGCCGATAAATGTGACACAGAGAAAGAAAAACAGTCTTAAAAAGAAAGAGACTGACAGTGTCAAAAGCACTTAATTGTGTTTTTGTAATTACACTCACTGCCTGAAGAGGGAGACAAAAATTAGCCTCTTCTGCCCTCCTCTGTCTCTCTCTTTGACACTACCGGCATCAGCAAAGACAAACTAATTTTTCATCCATCCTTCCATTATCTATACACCACTTAATCCTCACTAGGGTCGTGGGGAGCTGGAGTCTATCCCAGCTGACTTAGGGCGAAGGCAGGGGACACCCTGGACAGGTCGCCAATCTATCACAGGGCCACACTTAGAGACAGACAACCAAGCACACTCACATTCACACCTACGGACAATTTAGAATCACCAATTAACCTCAACATGTTTTTGGACTGTGTGAGGAAGCCAGAGAACCCGGAGAGAACCCACGCTGCACGGGGAGAACATGCAAACTCCACGCAGAAAGATCCTGGGTGTCCTCACTGAGGCAACAGTGTTAACCACCGAGCCACCTTGCAGCCTTCTCATTTTACATGACTTTATTAAACACACTGATGTGATTGTACATGAAAAATCAGCTGATTCTGGTGTCTTTTTTCAGACTTGGTGGATTTTATATGAAATGACCCAACATGGTTTTAGCTGTATTTATATAAAATAAGATATAAGTCAGTGAATATGTGATCTTAGATCTTACTGCGAGTAACATCAGTCAGCTTAGAGCTCCAGTTTGTTCATACGACTCACATCCTCAAATAGACCAGCCGCTCAGAATCAGCAGATGCCACTGGAACAGAGCAGGATACCATCAGTGACTTTTTAATCTCAGCTCTGCTGCATGTGTGTGTGAGATCCTGCATACATTTTCTCTCTGACTATATATGAGGCGTCAGTAAAGCCATGGTAAATAAATGCTTTCTCGAGATAATCTCCTCCCTATATGAAGCCTTTAACCATGATGAAGCAAAGCTTTGCAGTGGACAATCATCACTGTCCTACACACTGAACGCTAAGTCAGTTCTCAGAGTGCGTTTGATACTGTAAATAACAATCTCCTTGTTATTATTACTGGTGTTATTATTGAAGTCAGAAGGGTTTAAAAATGCATCATTATCATGCTAGTAGAGAAACTTGATCAAAGTGAAATCCCAACAACCTATTAGCTTTATTACAATAATGGTAAAAATAAAAAATGTTTGTATATGGAGCCCTTTTCAAAAATAGTGTAAAAATAAATAAAACCTTTGTTTTCATCTAAAGTGGCTGCCTTCGTTACTTTAAAATCTTGCTGTTTGAAACAGTGAAGTAGCTACAGATGCTCCCTGACCTAACTTTCATACACTGCACCTAAATAACCAAAAACTTCATTTAACCCTATTCAGGACTTTCATGTGACCGTACATAGAGGGTCTTTCGGGGTCCATTGGACCCCAAAAAAGAATATGTGTAAAATATTTGTTGGTATTCATTATAGACTTTAACTCTATGTTAAATACATTTTCTGATAAGTTGAGATATTTTTGGTTCCAAATGCATGAAAAATGTCTCTTTATTTATTTAAAAACAAACAAAAAAATCTTCAAGAATAAAAAACAACACCTGTCACCTGAACCAAATGGCCTGGGTCCAAAAGACCCCAGGCCAATAGGGTTAAATGTGGCGCTGTCCCTTTTGAAGTTGTCTCTCATGCCATGATCCTTTGCTCCCAGTGCTCCTGCAATATTGTAACACTGTCTGGGAATCTGCCACATTTGCAATCACCATGGAGCTATAACTTGTGCAGGGTGCAGACATCAGTTTCTGTGTCAAACTGACTCAGTCTTCATGTGAAGGACTATCAGTGGTGATCAGAGGTGGGCCTGTGGCTATTATCAAGAGAAGAAACAACCATTTTCACATTGGAACACCCACAGCCACATAAATTTGTCCCCCAGGTTTACATTGTCATCACAGAGTTCTTCTGGAGTGTCCCAAGGTCTTCGAGGAAGAACATTTAAACCACCTGTGAATGCTCCAGTGCACAGTGAAAACATTTTTGAATTTTTGACAACAACAACACAATTGTTGCTCTGCATCCATCCTACTCATTAGATTTGACTCGCTGCGACTTCTTTCTCCTTCTCAAAATAATATTCAGATTCAAGGGTTGCTGTTCGGACACAGAAATGTATCATTCATTATCAATGGCACTTGACTTGCTGATGGAATGGGACTACCTGGCAGCATTGTAAGCGCTGCAGGAGCACTGGGAGCAGTGCATGGCTGCACAAAGAGATGGCCCCTGAAGTTATGGCCACGAAGAGGTTCTTGCTGTTTTTTGATGCAGACTAAGAACTTTTTTAAAATCATCCACTGTCTTACTACAGTAGCATATTGCTGCCACACCAGAGAAAAAATTCGTTTTTCCTTTTTGCGTTGACCCGGTTTTTTTTACCAGGTTTTTTTCACGTTATTACAATAACCTTTTCCTGTTATAACAATATACTTTTGGTCTTGTTACAACATAAAACTCATGTTTGAATGAGAAAGCAGTGTGCAGAGAACGGGTAGATTCAAACATTTGCAGATGTATACAATTTGATTAAGTTGTGCTTCATGCTGTTATTGATCACACTGGATGATACTGCCATAAGTATGTAAACACAAAGAAGGCATTGAATGAACAATCAGTCAGTGCCTCCCCAATATGAAGCCAAAATGTTGCTTCGATTCAGCACAGTTGTTTTCTGTAACTAACGATGAGCACATATGTCTAGTTATGTCTCTGGTAGAGTTGTTATGTCACAGAAGGCATCCTGACTAGAAGATGAGCCTGGTATCAAAAAGTAGGTTAAAAATGAGACCTTACATTTGCTTCAACATTTTTTATAACCCACCACCTTTTTGACATGCTGGTATCATCTTTGAAAGTTTACCCAAAATACACTTCCTAAAGTTTTCTTTGGTTAATTAAATGGTGAAAACAGAGAACACATCCAGGGTACGGATGTTGTTTCTATGAACTCTACGCATGGACATTAAGCCGGTGCTGTTACCTTATGATATATCCATACCCAATGATACTGATGCTCAAATTAAACTGTTTGAAAAGTTGTGTTGACTAAAAACAGCAGCATGGCTGTCAATTGTGACAGCTGAAGTGGGTGTAAAATGGATTGAGTTCAAATGTGATTTTTAGCCCTAAAAATTTTTTTTGTCTGTCTCAGAAATGCTCTTGAAAATAACACAAATCAAAAAATCAATTTTGATCCACTTCACTTTGAAAATATTCGTAGTAGGAAAGTAAAATTTTGCATGAATTAATATGATTGACTCAGAGGAGTCACATGAGGGGCTATAATTTTATTTTATTTTTTTCATGAAATGACCTATAGGGAAGTGATTTTGGATGCAAACTGTGTCCATCAGGCTCCAGAAGTGAAAACGATGGGCTGTGTGTGGAGTGTACTGGGTTCAGTACTGGCCGCAGCACTTAAGAGTTCCTGGGGGAGGGGTCTTAAGTTGGGACACACGACAAGCTAAGAGCGGCCCTGCTGGTATAAATATTTCCGTGGAAAAGGGGCTGGACGACCCCGCTGAGCTACAGCGGTGCAGACACAACATGTACAGGCTCCGTGCGCCTGTTTCACCGTGTTAGTGTCGATGTGATGCGGCGCGTTGAGGTGAACACAGGCTGCGTGAGTGTGACCGCGCATCAGTAGCCCGTCCGTCGGTGTGTCAGCCTGTCGGAGCTCCGAGCACAGGCGGGAATGGAGCGGGGCGACGGGGACGAGAATGAGAGCAGCGCGTCCCAACAAAACACGATGTGGAAGCAGTTCCAAGCCCGAGCCAAGCCGCTGCTCAGCCCCAAGCTGGGCTCCAGAGAGCCCGACGACAAGAAGGAGCGCGGCATGTGGATGTTTAGGAAGATGAAGCGGAAGGAGAACGTCGTCCTGGACCGAGTGATCTCCTCCTCGCAGCCTGACCTGCTCTTCTCCTCCCAGGTGGAGGCGAAGGAAGCTCCGCTCTGCGGCAAGGCGGCCGGGAGCGGCTCTAAGCTCGGCCGGGAGAAGCTGCAGGCGTCCGTCAAACACAAGTCCGGCAGTCCGCACAAACCCACGGTGGCTCAGCTGGTGCAGTCCCACCACAAGAGCTCCTCTCTGGGCTCTGCGTGCCTGGAGAGGCTGGCCGAGCCGTCCGACAGCAGCGGCGGGGGCGGCAACGACGCGGCAACAGCTGCAGCGGAGCCACAGCTGGAGGGCAACGATGTTGATCCGGTGAGTTTCCAACAGGTAAACACGGAGAAGATCTGTCCTGCAGGGAGCCACGGTGATGGCATTCAGTCTCAAGGTAAAAGATGGCGGGACAGCTGTGTGTGAGGAAGTTTAGTTTGGCAGAGCTGCTGCACATTCATGTATTAGAATAAGCCTTTATAATAAGTGCTTTGACAGACAGCGCAAAAGCAGGAGCAAACAGTAGTAACAAAAAGGTAAAGTTACACCAAGAAAACAGAAAAAAAAGACAAAAACACGTTATTATGTTAATAATGTTATTATTATTTTATTATTAAATACAAATAAAATCATACAAGCAATAAAAACTCAAATAAACCATAAAAAGACATCACATAAATACATGTCTAGAAAAAATGGGATTTTAGGTGTTTTTCAAATAGAGGCTTTATGCTCAGACTCCTTAGTTAAACACATTTAAACAAATTTGTTCATTCAATCTCAGAAAATGTTCCTCGTGATGCCACCTGCAGCAAAACGTCCTCACAAGATGATGCTGCCGCCTCCATGCTTCACAGTTGGGATGGTTTGTTCGCCTTGTAGGCCTCATCTAACAGTGGTCATTACAACCGAAATAGTCTAAGATGCAGGATGAGAACTTCAGGCATAAATCTGCCATTTCCACTACATATTTTCTCCAGCCTCGCTATCTGCATCTGAACTCCAGGTGAAGATAAATCAAGTCATCAAGCTAATTTTGTTCACCTAAACATAGTTTTTAATCAATAAATCCGAAAACTGCATTACAGACATTCTTATGTCAAGCCAACCCATCAAAATAATGATTGCAACCTGATTTTTTTAAATCTTGCAACTAAGCATTTAGTTATGTGGTGAGAATGAATCCCTTGAGTGACTCTATAAAGTGCAGTGTTGACACAGAGTTGTGGAGAATGCTCTGACTGTATGAGAAGAGGTGCAGTTCTGTTTTCTTCAGACCAGAAGACATCTCTTTGTGCAGCTGAAAACTTTTGGAGCTTCTTGCTTGCTGAGCAGCTCTCAGGTCATACCAACATAGATTTTGTTTTGCTTTAAGTATGCTGTAGATATTTGCTGCTCTTCTGGATTGATTTTTGCACTTTTTGTACCAAAAGTACGTTTGTTTCTAGGATACAGAACTCCTTCCTGAGCAGCATGAAGGCTGGTGTACATATGAGCTTCATGTCTTCAGGCATTTGGAAATTGCTTCCAGACTTGTGGAGCGCCACGTTTTTTGTTTTTTTTGTTTTTGTCTGAGATCTGAGCCAAATATAAGAGGAGAACCTCTGATGTGCAATAGGAGCAATTAGTGTGGAAAAAATACAAAGTTCGACCAAATTTGTGCTCAATTAAAGCCAAAATTTGAACTAAAACAAACCCATGTTCTTTGCCGTGTCTTTTATGGCTTCAATTTGATAGATTAATCTGTTTTACTGGATTTTAAAAGGAGTCTTTTAAAAATGTAGTCTAAATTATTAGGTGACATCTGAAGTCCCAGCAGTTTCTGGACGTTTTTAGCTCCTGTCACATTTTACCTCGCTGTGAGCTCATTTTTCCACTACAAAATAAAGTCCTGCACCTCTGTGAAAACAGAACAACAATGGCTAGAAGTAGAAAAAACAAAAATAAATGCCTTATGTGCAGTATGATGCAGTTGCAATGCCATAAATAATAAAACAGAAATAATTGAAGTTCTTTGATTTATTTTTTTTAAGTGAAAAATCCAGGAATCAACATGTCCATCATTTTTCAAGTGCCCACAGGTGTTACCAAAACTACAAAATTTGGTGTCTCCACATACTATAGTTAACTATTTACATTCTACAACCTCTACAAGCTTTTGACGCTCGTTTGCACATCAGCTCTAAAGAAATTTTTCACCATGCTGAATGCGTGCTTCAACAACTTGCTCTTCTGTATATTGTTTTTGAGTTATACTGTATTTATTTTGTTGGTTCAGTGTGTTTTATTTTCCTCTCAGTCTCTTTTGTTGTCTCCTCTCTGCTCTGTGTAAACACAGTCGGCTGACTCTCCCATACACAAAGCAAAGACTTAAGCTGAACCCTAAACCAAAAGCTGATCTGAATAATGTAAACCAGCTCATGTTGAGTTTTTGGAATTTAAACAGTATAAAAGAGCTGGCATTGATAATAGCAGCTGCAAGGAATTTTGTTTTGGAGTGAGGCCTGCAATCAGGACAGGGTTGAAAATCAAAGCAGAAAGAACAGATGGTAAGTAAGATAGTATGTCGCAATTTCAGTGTGTTGTGTGTGGGAAATCTAACTGGAAAGTAGACAAATGTTGGATTTCTGACAGTGCTGACTGATGCTTCTGTCTCACAGTAGAGCGTACACAGGACATGGAGGTTTACAGCTGGAAACAGCTACAACTAACTGACGGATGAGTCACATCCAGAAACAAAGGTGGATCTTGAATAAGGTTTTCCTGTATTGAGACGTAGAGTTTTAGAAGCCTGTTGCACATATCAAGACTTGTTCAAGTTTACCTGCACGCACAGCTGCAACGACAAATCAACTAATTGTCAGAAAAGTGCACCTTTATGAAAACGGTACAACTGGAGAGAACTCAGAAATGTCTTCTGTGCAGTAAGACACAGTAAATTTGAATTCCGTTGAAAAGCATTTTATTTACCATTCCCCATTTGACATTTTATAGACCAGCTAAGTTTTAATCATTAAAAGAATTGATATATTAATCAGCAGTGTATAAAATTGTTAGTTGCAGCCTCATTTGCAATTGATGTTTGCAAATGCATTTACATTTTGCGTTATATCTTAGTTATATTTTTATTTTTTAAAGTTTGAGTAAGTCACTAGTTAGATATACAGTGCCGCAAAAAAGTATTTGCCCCCTTCCCAAATTCTTTAAAAAAAAAAAAAAAATTCCCCAGTTAAATATTTAAGATCATCAAACAAATTTAAATATTAGACAAATATGACCAAAGTAAACACAAAATGCAGTTAAGCTATCCAAACCTACCAGGTCTTGTGTGAAAAAATAATTACCCCCCTTGTTAAATCATGAATTAACTGTGGCATATCACATTTTTTGGACAGCTGAGTTCAATTTCAGTGACCACGTCCAAGTCTGATTACCTTCAGAACTATTCAATCAACAAATCACTTCAATAGAACCTGTCTGACAAAATGGAGTTGGCCAAAATATCTCAAAAAGCTGCAACAAAATGATTGGATCCAAAGAAATTTACCAACAGTTGAGAAATAAAGTAATTGACATCTGTCAGTCTGGAAAGGGTTACAGGGCCATTTCTAAAGCTTTCGGACTCCAGCGAACCACAGTGAGAGCCAGTAACCACAAATGGAGAAAACATGGAACAGTGGTGAACTTTCTCAGGAGTGGCCGGCCAACCAAAATGACCCCAATAGCACAGTGACGACTTACCCAGGAGGTCACAAAGGAACCCAGGACAACATCTAAAGGACTGCAGGCCTCTCTTGCCTCAGTTAAGATCAGTGTTCATGACTCAACAATAAGGAAAAGACCGGGCAAAAATGGCATCCATGGTACAGTTCCAAGGCCAAAACCACTGCTGACCAAAAAGAACATAAACGCTCTTCTTACTTTTGCAAACAAACATCTGAATGATTCCTAAAACTTTTGGGTTGAACTTTTGGAAGGTGTGTGTCTCGTTACATCTGGCGTAAAAGCAACAGCGTTTCAGAAAAGCAACAGTCAAATATGGTGGTGGTAGAGTGATGATCTGGGCCTGCTTTGCTGCTTCAGGACCTGGATGACTTGCTGTGATTGATGGAACCATGAATTCTGCTCTCTAGCAGAGAATCTTGAAGGAGAATGTTCGGCCATCAGTTCATGACCTCAAGCTGAGGCGCACTTGGGTTCTGCTGCAGGACAGCGATCCAAAACACATCAGCAAGTCCACTTCTGAATGGCTTAAAAAAAAAAAAAAAAAAATGAAGGTTTTGGAGTGGCCTAGTCAAAGTCCGGACTTGACTCCCATTGAAATGCTGTGGCATGACCCTAACCCTATTCAGGAGTTATGGGGTCTTTTGGACTCCAGGCCATTTGGTTTAGGTGACAGGTATTGTTTTTTTTTTTTTTTTAGATATATAAAAAGAGGGACATTTGTCATGCATTTGGAACCAAAAATACACCAACTTATCAGAAAGTTTATTTAACAGTATAAAAGTCTAGAATGAATACCAAAAAATATTTTACACATATTGTTTCTTGGGGTCCAATGAACTGTTTTTTTTTTTCACTCTCAGAATATGAATCATGAGCTCAAACAACTACAGCCCCACCACAGTATACTCTATTACATTTTGAATTGTAGCCTGTGTTTTTCTTTACATTAATAAAGACGTTTCCAACATATACGGCAGCAGAAAACGAACAAATTGGCACGTAATCCAGGAAACTGGTGTTCAGACTTTTTCGAATCCCCCCCAAAGTGAAGTAATCACGAGGGTACTCGGCTGCAGCTGAGACAGGTGGAGGGTGGCCAGTTTCAGAGTGTTAGAAGAGTGTAGCTTGCAGCACTGTAAATGAATAAACAAACAATACTCAGGGGATTGTAAATGTGTTAGAATTAATCCCATGGCGGCACCTTTTTTGGAACTGAAAAATGTCCAAGTGTAATTAGATGTAGGGAGCCTCAATTAGTGATGTCCTCAGGTGGCGTTATAGAGAGACCCAGCTGGTGGAGCTGATGGAGGATTTTAGAGGCGAAAGCTGCAGTAAACTAAGAAATGTTGGGAGAGGCGATAAGGATTCAATTACAAAGAGTAACTTGTTTCAAAGCTAATGAAGATCAGATCTGTAGGGCCTTCTGTGTAGCGTACACCACGGGGCAAAGTACATTTACTCATTTCATGAAAGAAGACAAAAAAAAAAACAGCCAGAAAGTTAAAGAAAAACATACAAACACATACACAACTCCATATTACATATACACATATACGTGTACTCTACACTCTACAATTTAAAGTCATCCACATTTATAG